GGGCACTTAGCACCTGCCCAAGGCCAGAACAGAAAGCTCATGTCTGGGGAGGTCAGATAGCAGTGGGAACAGCTCACTCATCCCTCCCTGAGTTACTACAGTAGGTCATCTGGGATCATACACAGGTCTATATGAGGAAGGGGCTCAGACCTGGAGGTAGAGGTGGCTGAGACTTGTGGATGAGGCCCTGGGAAGAGCACTGATTTGGGAGTCCACCTCTCCCAGCCCTGCCCTGCTGATGTGCTGTGCTTGGAACCAGCTCGTCACTTGTCTGGCCTCAGCCTCTTCATCTGCACAGTGAGAGGGCTGGGTAGACCAGCAGACCTAGACCCTTGTGAGGGCTCTGGAGTGCCACCTTGTTTGGAGGCTCCAGGAGAACAGGGCAATGACCTACACAGAGAAGCCTAAGTTGCAGTTTTCTAAGAGGGGCAGCTGAGTCTAAATTTTGGGCTGCTTTGGGGTTCACCCAGTCTAGAGAAAGGAAGAGGTGGATGTGGCTGTCCCTAGCACTTGGAGGAGGCAGGATGTGCAGTCAGTGGTTGAGAGCCTGGGCTTTTTAGTATCAGCCAGACCTGGGCTCTGATCCTTGCTCTACTGTTGGCTTCAAGCTGTGGCCTTGGCCAGCTTCTTTAATCTCTCTGCTCCTCACTTTCCTCTGTGAAATGGGGATTGTGTTACTATCTACCTTAGGAGTTCATTAAAATGATGAATGAAATCATGTTTCTCAAATCACTTATCACAATGCCTGTCACTTTGTAGGCATTCCAAATGCTATTCTTTATGCCTGTTATTTGCTTTTATTATAACTGAGTTGTCCTTTCTCGGATGGGAGGTTCAGGACCAGGCATGAGATAGGGGGTAGAAAAGAGAGTGGGCTTCAGAGGATCCCAGAGTCAGGAGACAAAGCCTCGCTGTTTAGGATCTGAGGAGAGGGAGGGGACAAGAAGCAGTCTGAGGGCAGGTGGAGGAGGGGCGGAGCGGATGAAGCTGGGCAAGGTAAGATGTCAGGTACCTGGCTCTGGGGCTCAGCCTCAGCCCTGCCCAGGGTGGGAGAGGGGATGGCAAAGCCGTACCTCCTGGGGCCAGGGCTCTGCAGGACCAGTGACCCTGTTTGGAGCAAGCCTGGAGCTAATTGCTTTCTGGGATTCTGAGTCACAGGCGGCTGCCAGACCCTGTGAGCGGGGAAGAGGCGTGCGGGTGGTGTCTGAGGTTAGCTCCAAGGCTGTCTTCCTTCTTGCAGTAATTTTCCAAGTTGTGTTTATAGTTCCCTGGAACTTCCCTAATCCCTGAAACCAGAGGGAATTTTGATGTCATGATTTGGATGGGTAAGGGAGATTTCTGGAGAAAGATGGGAAGAACAAAGAGGTGGAGGCTTTTCTATGTGGCTGGACTCAAAGCGTTAAATACAGCACGAGGACCTCCCTGGTGGGTGGGTCTAGGGGGACAGGGACTGTGGATAGTACCGGCGAAGTTGGACATGAGCCTGCCTGGGGTTGGACCTACCTACCCCTGGCCTGATGAAGTACAGAAAGGATCAAGATCAATCAGAGATCTTTTTTTTCCCTGATTATATAAGTAACAGAACACTTAGAAAATAGATTTGAAAAAAAAAGCACCAATGTTGTTAGCAGAAATTACCTTTGGGGAAGGGTGTGAGATTTAGGGTGTGTGGGGCAAGAAATCGGGAAATTTCCACTCTTTATGTATTGTTTGAATTTTTTATAACTCAGGTGACCGGAGTGGTCCTTAGGGACTGTTGTGATGATATGATAATTGATATGCCCCCTTTTACTCTTGGTGCAAATACACTTGGCTGCTAATCTAAAGATTGGAGGTTCGAGTCTACCCAGAGGTGCCCTAGAAGAGAATTCTGACAATCTACTTCAGAAAAATCAGCCATTGAAAACTCCATGGACCAAGTTCTG